CTCCTGGATGATCTTTATGTTCAGGCAAATGATGGTGCCTGAGACTGTTAACTTGTGGCAAATCTTTGCGAGTGTCCCTCAAAAACTAAAATTAATATTAATGGCAAATCAAACGCCGTCAATGAGAATCACTCTGGTGTGACAAGCTCAATTTCCAGCCTATAGCATCTTCCCATTCAGCACTTTAATACCAAGCTGACCTTTTGAACCAGCTCCATGAGATCAGTCCAGCAGGATGAATAATGGAAGAGGCTGAGGGTTAGGTAGGAGAGTTCAATGGCCATCCTGGTGAGTGGGTGGTTGAGACCACGTCCCCTCAGCTCCCTGCTACCTGAAGGACAGCACAGGGAGAAGCACGAGCCAGCACAGCCCTCCACAGCTCTGACATGGGGAGCAGCCTTCATCCCAGCTCTCTGCTCACCTCTAAATCTACCCAGCTGTTCTCAACATCTGTGGGTTTCTGTAGCAGCTTCCCCATAAGAGTGACGAAAGGGAGACGAAAGCTGAAGCGGTGGCATTTTTTCCCCTGGAGCATAAAGTTTAGTGTAGGTGAGGACTGGAGAGGTGAGGTGCTCCCTTGTTAAAACTCCAGCATTTGAATAACCCATCACCCATCCTGCCTACACCAGCCAAGTTTCCTTTGCAACTGTCTGCCTGGGAAGAGGGAGCTCTTCATTATCCTACATGCTCCCTCCCTCACTACCCCACAGGAGAAGAAACAGAGGAGAGATAATGCTTGAAAAACCAATAGAAAAAAAAAGGAGAAAAAAAAAAAAAACCTAATATGGAGCTGTCTCCAAAGAGCTGCTTTCCCTGTGTGGCAGGCGCCTCATGGATTAACCTTTTGTATATGCAGAAATGGGAAATGAATAATTGAGCAGCGTGCAGACTGCAGCGCTCCCTGTCCCGCGCACTGTGCTGCTCAGACTCGATGGCTCACTTTACAAAACCCTCTTCAACAGCACCTTTTAATTGAGATGTACAGAGGATGGGAAGCAAGGGGCAACGAGTGCTGCTCATCTCGTTGCGCCTGATGATATGCTTGGGATCACGTGCAGCCCGTGTCATTCTGTCAACAAATTTAGACACAGCAACAAATCCACTGGCTGTGGTGTATTCACCAATGCACAGGGATGGTGAGAGCAAGGGCCATTGCCCCAGATCCCAAGCTGCCAGTGCAATGCAGGAGGAAGCCAGTTAGTTCCCTCCTAACAGATCGCCATAGTCAGATCCATCTTCAAAGTTTCAATTGCAAGATTTTGACCTCTGTTCTGTCTCCCAGTCCTGATTCATCATCAAGGTGATGAATGTCACCTTGGTCTCATGGCCAGAACTCCTTCCCTCAGGTGCAATCCTGTCCCCATTGCAGTGCCTGTAATGGAGTTCCTGCTAGAGTAAAAGGTCAATCCTGGTAGAAAACACACGAGGAGGGCACAGCAAAGGCAAATTAGATGAAGGCTGGAGAAAAAAAAAGAAGCCTTTCTGATTTCTGATCCACACAATATGCCACAGAAATTCTGTCATCTCCTCGTCAGGGACTGCTGTGACACCATGCTCAACCTTTGGGCTGAGCAACTGGATATGAGTGTTTTTCACCCATTTTCTCTGCCCATTTGTAGCATGGCTCTCCAGTGAGCTGCTAAGGGTGGCTATTTTACGTGTGACCTCCCTTGTCCTCCTAAAGTCATGAAAGACACCATTAAATCCCTCACCTGCTGATGGCAGTGATGGTGGAGGTTTAGTGGGGAAATACTGATGGTAGGTGGACAGTTGGATTAGATGATCTTGGAGATCTTTTCCAGCCTTAGTGATTCTGTGATTCTATGATTCACCTGCATGGGCACTGGTACAGCAGCCATCACAATTTATCAACTCCCAATGCTCTGGCACTAGGGCTTGGGGTTTGGCTGACGTCCTCATCCCAAGCATTGCAAAAGTTATGCCTGAACGAACTCATCACAAGTATTCAGCAGGTGTCAGGAATGCTGTGTCTTTAAGGAGCATCACAAAACTCTGTTCTAATTCAGTGTTACTACCTTCCAGATGGGTTTGGGCAAAGAACCCCTGTGCTACCCATACCCTATAGCTTTTCCTTTCAGACAGCCTTAGGTGAGGGCATGTGGAATTTCAAATTGTACATCTGAGCATGGATCACTCACATTCATAACATTCCCCATGCCACAGAATTTTTCCCTTGTCCTCTGACACCCGCATCCAGTCACTGATGGTCTGTGCTTTCTAGAGGATGCATAGGTAGGTCCAACCCTAAGCACATGCTCCTCTGTAGCAGGGCTACCTTTGCTCCTAGAGCTTAATCAAGGAGTTCTCCTTGTGCCTCCATGTGAAATCACTGTGTTGATGGAGCTACAACTTGGCAGTAAGGTACCCAGACAGGCTTCCTGCCTCTCCCCTTGCTCTTGATATGTCCCTAAATACTGTGGGGACATATCCATGACAGTACCTTTAACGCTGATAGAGTCTGATTCCTTAATACCATCACTGAGCTCCTGCTACTGGTCCCGTGTGACTTTCATTTGGAGATGGCAGTGGAGAATGTCTCCATCACTCTCTGCCACCTGCTCCATTCCTTACCTGCGCATGGGAAGCATTTGTGAAGCCCACCAGCGTGTGTAAGCCTCGTATTTGTCTACCTATGTCATCCAAACTCTCTGATAGGCTGTCATTGGTCATGGCAGCAGGTGAGTGATGCTCTGGGATGCGAACACAATGCATTCCTGAACATCTATCTTTTTGTGCCAGGTGGTGAATGTATAAATGGCAGCTCTGACAGCATCAATAAAGATAGGGGAATCTTTACCAGCAGAGAAGAATCTATAACTAGGGGGTAAGTTTGCCCGAAGGCCAGCTGAGTACTCAAGGTCTTGTCTCTGGTCGTTACAATGAAGGAGATGTGCTGAAGGCAAAGATGAGTGACACAGCTACTACTCTAAAGGCAGTCCTGCTAGCTGGACTCACACCAGCAGTGAGGAGAGAGCGGCCAGATAAAGCTAGAATTGTTTATCTTCCATTCCTAATATTTGTTGTTTCCATGGTGACAAGTCCCTCTTCACCAGTGTCAACTCATTAGACCTAGTAATGACAAGTCCTTTTTTCCCTAATGAATTCTGTTAATCTCCATTGTGGTCAGACTCTGTTTACCCTTGAAAATGGTTATTATGGTTTAAAGTGCTTATAGTGTGCCTCAGAGCTCATCTCTCTATTTGCCTTATTTTGGTTGACCTGGTAGAGATTTACTTTCACGTTTTTGTACTTCTAGAATTAAGGTTGATACAGAAGACAGACAGAAAAGTAAGAGATGGCACACAAAGATAGCTTGGTGTTTTAACAAATGAGTGTTCCTGCTTTTCACCTCTTCTTCTGAGAGCTGACGTGAGTCACAGCTAAACCAGGTTAGGAGGCCTACGTTTAACTCTTCATCTATCTGCTGATTACTTTCTGGGTCAAATCAGGATGCTGCAAACAAGCAGTTCAATTTGTCCCTTCCCAAGGAGTTTCTGCCCATGTAGCGTATTGGCTGCAGCCAACCAGGGAGCAAGGTGAGAAATTTGACAGGACACCTCCACCTTCCTGGAGGTGGCATCACTGGAAAGAAAGCTTGGTTTGCTGGCATTTACAGCACACGAAAAAGATGCTGCTACACGTAATGGGCTGCAATAAGAGGGCATTACCAGCACATCTAGTCACTGTGGTTGTGTGTTCCCACTCCCTTCCTTTTGCACCAGAACACAGGACTGATCAATTCTCTGCCACCTCCCCTCTGAGCAGCTTTTTAAGCCAGATGATCAGGGCACCACAGCCAGACAGACCTTCCCATCCTAACAAGGCACTACGCTATTTCATTGCCCCTGCAATGTCAAACTGTAGCCTGCTCTCATCCATCCTTTTCCTCCCAGGACTGCCCAGCCCCTCCCTTACCAGCACTGCTAGAGCAAGCTTCCTAAGGTGAATTTACCATATTAAATTTGTCTGTGTTATCTGCACTGCCCTGGTGCCGGTTCAGGCAAGAATGATGGATATGGTCCCAGCCCGACAGAAATTAGGGAAGTTCACACTCTGTTTTAATAGCAAGTGCAGTGATTTGACATTGAATAATGAAGCTGGTCAGGTTCTATTAGTGGCAGATTAGACCATAATTCAATCTCCCACCTTGCTGTTTTAAGCCTTTTTCACAGACTGTATTAAATCTGACCCAAGCCTGAAGAGGCAGAATGGAAATGCTCTGTGGTACGTGTGGATGAATTACATCTCATAAGGATGAGAAAACACAGCTGCATTTGGACTCCATGGTACAATGATGACAGCATCTCCAGTCAATCCTGGGACACCTCATCCTAGTGCTCAAAGTCACCCATCCAAGATGCAATGGGGCTGGAAAAACTTCTCAGAGCACATCATTCTGTGGGGTTGCACCTGCTGTCAAGGGGGAACAGACACACACACAGTGGCACTTTAGGCTGGAAGGAGTGGCAATGTGGCACAGCTGGAGAGGGCAAATCAAAGAGGATGCAGGGGATCCATTCCAAGAGTACCAAGGGCAAGATGGACACAACAGAAAGATGAGTGTTCCTGGTTGCAGGGTGCCATGCAGGATTCCATTGTGAAGGTCACCAGCAAGACAGTATCTCTGAGGACACTGAGTTCATTAATTCTGCAAGACACGAGAGATGAAGCTCCACTGCGTGCAGCAGTAGGCAGCCAGACAGATGTTTCTGAGGAGCAGTTGAACATTATAACACCTTTTTGTAACCCATAACTCAGTATGATGTCATTCCCCTGTAGATGTCTTCCCACAGCTCTCACTTACCTCCTTCCTACAGCGTTCTGCTTACAGAATGTTTCCATCACCCTGAGAAGCCCAGCAGCTCCAAGCCAGTTCTTCAGAGCTGCTTTCAGTGTTTTCTCACCCTGCCTTACTGAATCAGCATGTGATTGGACAGCTGACACAGTTCTATATTTTCTGATTGAGAGAGAACACTGAATTACTTTAGCAAACATTTATTGAGCACCTAAGACACAGAAAACATAAGAGACAGCAATGCCCTGGAGATGAAATTCATTGGAGAGATCTCAGTAGTTAAGCCAGTAAATACGTTCTTATCAGTGCTGCAAGCTGGCAGAGTAAGCAAGACTTCTCTGCAAAGAAAAAGGAGCCCTAGATGAAGCCACGGACATCATCACCCTGCCTGCCCTCACTGCAGAAAGCTCCCAATCGCCAGGCTTTTTCCATAGCACTATGGGACTCTGATCCCAGGGCTGGAGCAACTTTTGTTCAATCCAACAGGGCTTGACCACTGGAAGAAACAGATCATGGGCTGGCACAAAGGCAAACACAGCCAAAGGAGACGTTTTGCTTCTCTGATGCTTTTGTGACATTCTCACATCTCTGGTCTCCTCCCTGCCTGCAGGAGCATCCATGGGAACCACCTTTGAAATTCAACTGCTTGTGGATATCAGGGCAAAATGGAACCACTGTAGCAACACAGTGGGTACAGGAAAACACAGATACTGGGAAGTGGTAGCATGGATAGATACAGAGAAGCAACCAATGAAATTTTGTTTCAGTGAAACACAATTCCTGATCTTTTAGCCCATTAAACTTACATATTATTTACACCTGTTTTTTGTTTGGTTTTTTTTTTTTTTTCTTTTATATCTTCCAGCTTGCATTGCAGCAGCCCAAATTCCCACTTGCCACCTGGAGAAATTGGTCTATGAGCAGCAACTCACCCAGAAACTGGTGACCCTGGCAAAGGGGGTAATGTCTGTTGACTCTGAACCATCTCAAGTAGCTCCTGGTGAAGCCAGAACCGATAGTTAACCCCTGGAGGTCACCCACTGAGCTTTTAGTACCCTCTGGATGGGAGAAGGACCCGGGAAGGAGATTTCTTTGCACTGAATTTCTCCTTTCCAGATATCTGAATCTCTCTTTTAGGGTCTGCAGCACTAGTTATTGTGGCAAGTCATTTTCAGTCTGCAAATCCAGGTATGTCTTGCTGCTTTCTACCCAGTGCTTCTTCATCTTCCCAGGAAGAACCCTTCAAGATAAAAGCCAGAGATGTTGCTCCATGACACAGAAATTGAGTTCTGCCTCTGGAGGCCAGGCAAGCCTCTTCCCTCCCCCATCAACCTAATCTGGGCCAGGGAAGTGCCACAGGCAGCTACTTATGGAGCACTTTGACACTTGTACAAGAGCTGTCTCTTACAACTAATCCAGGAGAGGTTCCCTGAGAATCCACATGCTAAAACTCATCAGCTCCTGCTTCCTCATTGCACCACCCCCAGAGTCTTCTCAGCACACTGGATGCACGGATGGCACTTCACTGCAGTTCCTCACTCAGTACTGATAGCAACACCAACAAAGGCTCCCGAGGGCAAGAGTAACACAATCAAGTAAACATCATCAGAACAGATCATTCTCTCTGAAAAAAAATCAGCACTGAATACTTTCGTTAGGTGTATTGCTTCCAGCTGAGCTCACTCTCCCTGTGGAATTCCACACTGAAACAGCCAATGGCTATAGGAACCAGTCCAGTATGAGGAGATAGATCTTTATTTTGCTCTACAATCACACCTGCAAATCCATAGCCAAAAGCCTTTGTGGGGACAGTCAGCAAAGCTCTCTGTGTCAACGACCAAGGAGCTACCACAGACCTGGCTGCCCCGAGACACACATTGCATGTGTCTTGGTTTAGTTTTATGCTTAGGAGCGATGGGACTTCATGCTACTGACACCACTGCTCATCACACACTGAATGCTCTTCTGAAGTCCTGTCACCTCTGGGATGCAGTTATGGGATCCCTGAGCCAGCTGGGAATCACAGCACTCATTCTGCAAAGGTGGTTCTCACATCCTACATGCCAAATTAACTAAATTAAGCTCAGAGGTGGCACAAACCATGTAACCACACTTGTAAATAATGGTGTGCTGAGGCAGAAGCTGGAATTACATCCCTCCAGACAGCCATTTGGTAAGGGAGAGTACAGCATGCACCTGCTGTAATGCTGTGCATTAAAAAGCACTTATGCTGCAACCACCAGCATTAGAATAGCACATAAACACGACAGTCATGATCTCAATGGGACTCTGGAGTCCAAAGGGGAACTCAGGCAGCATCCTGGAGCCCACAGAGGTGGAGGAGGTGGGAAAAAGAACCATCTCATGTATTACACTGATACATCCTCAGCATACAGACTATTGCTGACATCCTCTTGCACTTACACTGAAACACAGGTAGCCATGCAGCGACAAGGGGGGAAAAAAAAGTCAGCTAGCACCTCAGCAGCCCCTGAGAAATCAGACCTTGGGCAAAATGTCACTCCTCCAGTTTTCTCTTAACCAGGAACAGCCTGAGTTGCACGAAACCAGCTGAAAGCTGAGCAGTTCCCAAAGCCCAGCAAGAGGATACAGTTTGCATCATGCATTTGTGGCTCTTTTGGCAGCATCTCCATCCCTGTCCTCTTCAGTAGATGCTGGTTTCTTGAAGACCTGGAAAGACATGAAGACATAAGGAGTACATTCTCATTGCCAGCCATAAGTCTATCAAAAGGCTGAAACCAAGGACATCAGTGAAGACACCAAGGAAAAGTTAAACATTTGCAGCTGCAGCTTCAGGGAGGCCAACACTGATAGAAAGCGTAACATCCTTACCAAGGGATGCTGCTACTTCCCCAGCATTACAGTGAATACCAGGATGTTGTCATATAAAGTCTGCTAGCAAGACAGCTTCATTAAAGAATGAGAAATGGAACCTGAGCTTCCTGCTGCTACTTTCTTTGAGACTCCATAGTGCTTGGAAACATTCTGGGAAGAGAAAGGAAAACAAGTACTGGTGGGATACAGTCCTGGATGTGGGATTTTGGAGGAACGGTCTGGAAAATAATAAAATAAAATCAGAAGCAGGCTTTAAGTGATACCCTTTCATTTGCCTGCTACACAACTGTGCCCTCCCACTTCTTACTTGTGGATTAGGTTTATGTGAGTATCAGCTTCTAGTTCATTCAGCAAATGTTGCTGACGACAGGCAGATGTGGTCTCTGTGGCTTCTTCCCCTTCAAAGGAGAAGTCCTTCTGAGCAAGAACAGAGGGCAGCCCCAACTCACCCCTCCATAAGGAGCAAGCATGCCAGCATCCTTTTAGATGGATAGGAATTTACAGAAGTTAAGGTTTTTAATTAAAATCCAAGTTTGGTCTATAAAAGCTGGGCTTTTCCTCCTGAAAATGTTCATAGTTGCCTATGAGATTTTGCAACTGGGAGCAGTGAACAGATGAGTTCAAGGACAACAAAATGATGATCTCATGAGCTCTAAAGCTACATGGCCACTTGGAGTTTGATGTGAAACTAAATAAGCTTGCAACCTCACAAGGAGCAAGCCAGGAATTTAAACCAATCCTGTCTTTTTTCTTGCCTGTCTATAAGGTTAATTGCCATGATATTCATTAACCACAAGCTTAGAGGCTGCCCCCGATGCTCCTGGCTTAAGGACCAGCATGGCCCTGGTAAATACTAGATATTGCACTGAAGCAAGGAGAAGAGTTGTGTGTCCCACCAGCAGCCACCATTTTCATTTTCAGAAGACCTTAGAAAGGAGAAAAATAAGAGATAACCTGCTGTAAAACTATAAGATGATAGGAAAACACAGCAATAACAGCAGGGTAGCAGAGTCCCAAACTGCAGCAAGCAAGGATAAGCCCAAGTGCAGCAGCCGTGGGTGCAGAAACAAAGGAAGAAAAAAGAAAAAACTACTTACCTTCAGAAGGCCTCAAGAAGACAAGGATCTCCAATGAGATACCCTCACCTCCACTGCCAACCCTTAAATGAGGTCTGGGAAGGGCTGGATCCTGTTCCACCCTTCCAATCACTCAGTATATTGCATGCACCTGAGCTCCCCTGGGTTGGCCCTGCCTGCCACCAGGTGCTCAATCACAGCTTCAGGCCATGACTTCGCATTTCTGCTACGTCTACCAACCTGAACAACAAATGTCAGGGCATATGCACACAAGCATCCTTTAGGCATTGCAAAAGGAATTCAGCAACCCAGAGCAGACTTGCACCCACTTCCCAGGCTGTCCAGGTATCTCTTGGCAACACAAAAATTCCATCTATAAAATGGGAACGGTGATCACTAAATGATCTAAGATATGCAAGTGGAATAATAATAAATGTTGATTGAAACGAAGCATTTAGTGCCCAAGGCCAGTCCGATGTAGTCGCCAAGTCCAAAAATCACCAAAAGATTGAAGGTTTGACAGTATCAAAAGGTTGCTGGGAAATGATCCGTTCCTCTACATCCAGGCTTGTTTCTCAAGAGATTGCTTTCCCTGGCGGCAGAGACAATATTTCATTGAGTGGGGATGCCTGGAGTGAGTTCTCCTGGGACTCGGATTGAGAAAAAATATCATATTCGGTGCACCGAAGCATTTTATGTCTGAGCTTCAGTGAAAGTCAATATGAATGCAGAGACACGAGTACTCAAAGTGCACCAAACGAGGTACAGCCAGCTGTGCCTGTGGTGCTCCATTCAGGTGATGTATACGGATGTGAACTAACCCAAAGCCTTCAGTGCCCAATATATGGCGTGGCAACCGATGTTGGGGAGGGCTCTGGTTTTAAACTCATTTACTCTAATTTGAAAACGATGGCATTGATCCTTATCCTCACTACCGTAAAATAAAAGTAATGCTTTAAAAAGTATTGAGGATATCGAGGTAATCTGTGAATTGCATTGGTCGTTCAGAAGTAGGCATCATCCTCTAAACTGCAGTGTCTTTCCTGTGCCAATTAGACTCCCACACTGAAACACAGCAAGGAAAGCCTCTCTCCAGCAAACACCCGAGCCAACTGTCTTTGCAGCTAAAAATATTAATCCTTTGCTTGAGCCATTCTCCCTTTTCTCCTGATAGCACATCCTCTGAGGAGCTTTGTGCCCTGCCTCACTAGAAATTGCCTACAGGGAATAATTACCTCACGTCATCAAGCAAGCCTTGCGTAGTCAGACGGCGGGGAGGATTCGCAGCACCAAACCCGAAGCCTCAAAGAGCAGTGCAATTATACTCTTTACTGGTGCAGTTCCAGGAGTATCCAGACAAACCACGGGCAAGCACAGAGTAATTTTATCCTGATATGCCTGTCTAAACAGCAGATAGCTCCTCGGTAGTGTTCTCCCTCACTTGTTAATTTAACGCTTGATATATAGGAAAAATTAGAATTAAAACGTACCCAGCTGCTTCCTCCATTCCTGATTCCATTTAGAAATATCTCACATCTCTCCACAAAATGAGCTTAACTGCTTGAGACACTTGAGAGCCTGGATTTTATTTTTTGATAAGCCCGTGTGATTTAGGATCCTAAACCCTTCAGGAAGGTCAGGTTTGCACATCTCTGACAGCAGCACCCACTACATCCAAATCCCGGTCCCAGGGTGGGAAGGGGCACGGGTCCCTGCTGCTTTGGTTGGACAAGCTCATGAAAGACCATAGAGATGTGGGTCTTGGTGAACTGAGTCTTCTTCCTCCTTCCCAGAAGGAAGCACTGCTGGCTTTGTGAAGGTCAAAAGGAAATCAAGATGCTCCAGGGTAGCCAGAGGAATCAGCACCCAGACAGCCAGGCTAAGCACAGGAGCAAGTAGAAGTGCAATGGCTTGTGTCATGCATCAGTTCTCACTGATGAGGGGCTGAGAACTGAGAACAGGGTCCCAGCACACACCCCACAGCCCTGGGAGAGCAAAGGACCTCACTAGGAGGAGCACTCACCATCCTTCAGCCCTCTTGCACAGGTGAAACAAATTCCTTTTCTGTTCAATAGCTGAAGATGGAGCCAATCAGTTATCTGTGCCAAGAAATGGGGATTCTCTTTTGTCCTGGGAAAAGGGAGCAAGTTACAGGCAATAGAGGAGATGGGAGGCAGCAAGCAGAAAACATGGGGCTCCTTTGTCCTAGCAAAAGGACCAGGATGTATGCAACTGGAAAACCCACCTGCAGGAGAGCTGGGTGACGAGGCAAAAGGAAAACGGGAAGAGGCAGTTTGGCAACAAAGGGAACTCCTGGATATAAGGACAGATATAAAGCAGAAGAGGGCCCACGCAAGGCAGCAAGGCAAGGCTGACTTTCAAGAACAAACAGCTAGAGCCGGATTTAACAGCTGACTCCAGGGACTGGAGGCAGGCACATGAAGTGTGCTGCTCCTCCAGCCATGGGAGCAATGAGGAAAGTAAACCAGCCACTCGCTTAGCTTAGTGTTGAAAGCTTTTCCTCCTCTTCTCCAAGGCTCTCCAAGCAGCAGCGTGCACACGTGATGGCACGGAGAAGATGCCTGAAGAGGCAAAGGCAGATCCGAGCCTCTATTGCACGCGTCTTGCAAGAGGAGAAAGCAAGGACTACACTGGACCCTCATTAATCCAAATAGCTGGAGACTGTGGACCATGTGAGCGAGTGAAGCTTGCACGACTGCAACACAGCAGTGATGCTCATGAGCCCATACCCTTCAGAGGCACTTCTGAGTTTTCTTATTAAAAAATGAATTCTTGGGCTGGAGACAAAACAAAAGAAACACTCAGTATAAAGCATTACGCAGCAGCCACAGAAGTAGCCAGAGGTCAATGTTAGTTAACTGTGCTGTCAGAGCACTGAATTCTGGCATACTTATGTCCCTCTCCACTGCTTTGTTTCTTTCTATGGCTTACTAAATGAATGGAGATGTTTCAGCTTGGAGAGCACGTAGCGGAGATGGTGGGTGAGGAGTGAAATCCAGGCCTTTGAAATCCAACAGAACTACAGCGAGAAAGTGTTCTGTCAGCACCTGTTGAGAGGGAAAAGAGACAAAAAAAGAAGGGAATGTGGAGAGAGAAGAGATTGGGAGACAGTGGGAAAGTTCTGGGTATAATCAAGATGAGCTGGATGCAGAAAGTGGGTCTGTGGACAGAAGTCTGCTGCTCTCCCGACCCAAGCACAGGTTAGACAGGATGAGGCGGGCAGATATGGAGATCTGGCTGTTTTTCCAGGACAGGAGGCAAGTGAAAGTTATGCAGGAAAATGTCACGTGGTGCCTCAAAACATGTGATGGAGATCACAGGAAAGGCAACATCCTGAGAGAGGTGTCACTGGACAGTGATTAGATGACTCTTTGCTTTAAAAAACCTTTGCATTTCAAAAAAGAAAGGCCGGTGATAAATCCAATTTGGGAAGACAAAAAGTAAAGTTGGGACAGGTACGTAAACTTGCTGTATCAACATCATTCTCAGCTGACCAATAAAAGAAGGAGGACTGCACCAAGGACTGGCAAAGAGGAATATGATAAAAAGGAAGTGACTGTAGGAAGGCTGAGAGAAATTGCTTTAAAAAATGCCCAAATGATGTATGATGCCTCCTCCCAGACAAGCAGTGATGTCTGCAAACCTTGGAGCATTCTCTGAGCATCTCCGAGATGAACCCACAGTGGCTGCTTCCCCCAGGAACAGCTTCATTTACCATGAAACACACATCTTTAAGACCATAAAACCCAACATCACCCCACTCTGAGCAAAACATGTGAGCAGATATTCCTACATTTGCCTGAGTCAAAGTCCAAGCTGAAAACAAGCGAGTGCTCAAAGCTCATCCTCAGGGCAGTGTACCCAAAGCCTCCAGCAGACACTCATGTAACCTCTGAGCAGACACATCACTGGGGTTGGGGGCTCTCCATCCCCACCTCCAGCCCCTTTCTAGTCCCTTGGAAGGACCTCAATGAGCCCAAGGTCTCACCAACTCTGCTCCCATTCATACAGGTACCGAGGAGCCTCCAGGCTCCCAGCCACCAAACCAGGCTCAGAGAAACCAAGTCCCAAAGGAAAGCAAAGAGGTTAGCAAAAAAAGCTCTCTATTGGCAAATACATCTATCTCTTGCCACACAAAGAGAAGAAACACACTCCAGTTTAAAAAAAAAAGAGACCTTCAAATCATCTCACCTTCAATAACTAAACATAGCCATAAGTCCAACCTGCACATGGTTTCCCACAGACTCCCCTTGCAACACTACGCCCTCATCTTTTCTCAGCTCTTTCTTGTAGTTCAAACTAGCATTTTCAATGAGTATCTATACTTTCTTTAGAAATAAGTCAGTCTTTTCTTTTTTTCTTTTTTTTTCTTTTTTTTTTTTTTTGCTATCTTGCAGAATCCAGCAGGTTTTGCTGCTATGAATATGTAACGTGTGTTGCTATTTCTAAGTAATGAAGGTAAGTGAATAGGAACTTGTGTTACGCTATCAGGACAGGGATGATTAATTTGCAGTTAACATCCGTTTACTTCATTATCCCTTCATCGAAGCTTGACAAATGTGAAAACAATAATGAAAAATAGAAATTAATAGGAGTATTAGCACTGAATGCAGCCTACTACAGATTTAATCCTCACAAAAGAGCGCACAGATGTGTTGGATCTCCTCTCTTTGTAACGACCTTTTATCCACCTTCCTGCCCTTGGGTATAAATCTATTTAAATTTAAAGAGATCCATTTATATACACACATGTTCATCTGTGGGCACATCTATACATATGCATAGGTATGCGTACAGCAGAAGGTTTTCTCATCAGTTATCAATTAGGGCTGGGAAAACCGCTGTGACTAAGACAAAGCATGTGCAGAGCTTGACCTTCGGGATGGTTTCTTTGCAAGTAGCAGCTGCTCTCCATGTGCCAGCAAAGGAGGTGACCCATGGGGTCTTGTCCCAACGTAGCCCCGCTGGCTCCATGCGTGATATTAGGCATGGAGAAGAGAGAAGGGCATTGACACCAATGAGCACC